GGAAAATGAGAGATATATGAAAAGGCTCGCTAGCTGTCTTTAATCATACGTGTCTGAGTTCTGTCTTGCGTGTTGGGTGGTATAATAAAGTGAGTGTTAGGTAAGGAGGGAAAGTCAATCGATGGGATTTTGAAACCACATCAACTGAGATGGTTAGGATATGTGTTACGCATGCCTACCCGCCACCTTCCTCGACGGAAAATGTCAGCTGACTGACATAAGACCAGGTTGGAGAAAAGTGTAGTGATGGTCAAATGAAAACTTGAAATCCGTCCATGAAATGTGTGACAGTCAGTTCAAGCCAGCCAGCCAGTCACGTAAGGAGGTGCAGACTCCTTGACTGGTTGGGGTACTCAGGATTTTAAGAACCAATGGTTGGAGACAACTGGTGATATGACGCAAACTCATCGTTCCATATGACACAGATGCATTCGCACTTTATGATCTGCTATGTACATCGAAGCCCTATAGTTTTTTCATGGTAGCATTCTTTCTCCCTCACCATTCTGCTTATTATTGTTCTTATGAATCCCCCTCTCTCTCATTTGTTTTCACTTATGTGGTACATGAAATATGGCAACTTGAACAGCTGCTCTTCTGTTCAAAGTTCCTTGTTGAAACCAGTCAGGCAGTACATATAACACATTTTCATATCAGCGAAAGGAATGTTTCTAAAGGTGTGTCATTCACATTTTAGGTTTCGGATAGTTATTACGTAATACAAAAAGCGCTAACTGTGATTATTATTATTGTCTCCTTTAGATCCTAGATGAACATAGGGCTACAGCCACACGTCTCTATTGCGTTCGATTCTCTGGCAATGTTTTCATCACCTATCCCCACGTCTCCCCATATGCTCCCATCTCCTCTTCACATGACCTCCTACATGTCACCCTCGTACTGAGGACCAACTCGCCACTTCCCATTTGGGTTCCACTCGACAGAGAGATCCTGGCGTGTGTTGTCACTTGGTGGATTGTTTTCTCAGAGTATGTCCAATCCAATCCATCTCCATTTATTCCTGAATGTTCGTTGCACAATTGGTCCCTGCTGGGTTGGTTTGCTCATTGCCAAAGATCCCTCACTATTGCTGATCTTTTTTGGCCCGCCATCTGATCTTGAGTGGTATTGAGCGAATACAGCTGTTGATGAAGGTGTGTAGTTTGTTCGAAGTGGCCATCGTGACGCGGTGCGGTACCGAGTCTCTGATCCGTATAGTGGCGTTAACTTCATATTGGAGTTGAAAATCCGTATCTTATTTTTCATGCTGAGTGCTGCTGATCTCCACACAGACTTGAGAGAAATGAAAGCTTGCCTCGCTTTCCAGATGATCTTTGCTTTCATATCCTCCTCAGTTCCGTCCCTCTGTAGTTGAAACGATGCTTCCTTGTAGGTAGGTAGATGGGTAAAGGAGGTTGTTTCTTTCAGATTTCTCCCACTCATGCTGGCTGATTGTTGTCTGTTGTTGTATCTGTTGCTGTTAGCCAGGAATATTCATCATCACCTCTGTTTCCTCTATGTTCACCTGAAGGATGTCCGATCTTCACTGGATGCTTCTTCTGCCAACTGGTTGCTTTTCACTTGCATATCTTCCAGTTTGTGGGAAATCAGACATACATCATCGGCGAAATCCAGATCCTCTTAAGTAGAGTTCAAATTGGAATTAATACAAATTATGTATTAAATGTTGAGACTAACTAGATTGATTCTAGGTTCAGTGACAGAACAAACTTCTATACATAACGATGAGCATTTAACACCTTAGCGCTTCTACCGGTTTCTAGAAGTTTAATTCGTACATTCTATTTGACAAGATTTCTGCTTACTCTGTAGATAGACATAACTCTGAAATTGGTTTTCAGCTTCACTAAATATCCAGAGTCTCGATCAGGTGGTGTTCCAGGATGAGACTTCAGGAGGTTGAAGATCTTTTCTCTCCTGTATAGAACGACGAGGGTAACTGTTCAGTGCTACGTTTGGATAGTTAAGTACTGAATAGAAGACAAGGGTCAGGCAACAGATCGTTTATTGAGGAAATCAACAGATATTTATAGATTTTTATGTACATTATTATTAGCGTTGTTGTTAGCAGAGAAGCAACGTCTTCTCATTGGTTATTTTCTTGCTGAAGGTTATTCTGTACTGCTTGTGACCGTTTCTTAGAAAGTTAAGCCATATATCTGCAAATCGTATTTACACACGTTAAGTCTGCTGTGGTTGGTTATTGAGTTCCTCGGGTTTAGGCTTTGTTCTTGTTTTCTCTCATGACCACCTCGATTCGGGACGTAAATATCGACGTAAGTTGTCTACAATTTTGGCTTGTTCGCAGACAGCTCTCACCACACTATTAGCTCCACTGCAGCTGAGGAATTCATAACTACACATTGATTAGACATCCAACATTGTGATAGCTTATCCTACATGTTCATAGGAATCATTGGTTTCAGATAACTCTACACTCTACACATTTAAATATACATAAATCGATCAGGCTTATTTACCAATGGGAGAATAAACTGGGCGTAAATTATATATATATATATATATATATATATATATATATATATATATATAACTGATTATAATTGTAGTCATAGTAACAATAGTAATATTAGTAGTACCACTAAGAATAATAAGTGGTAATTTAGAAAATATCTAATATGATAAGAGTAGTTTAAAGACTACTGCACATGGTTATAAAAATAAATATTCAAGCAGGATAAATAGACTAGAGCTTACGAAGCCAGTTCACCGATGATATTGTGGTGTGTGCTACTGATAAGATTTGCAATTAACAGTGTTCTCTGAGCTGGTTGGTTTAGTTTACTGATAAGATTTATCAGTAGTATGTAGAGAGAAAAGTTCATCGGCATAAAAATATCAAATAGCAGAGAGATAGAAGGATTTGACGTCAGAGGAAGCAAATAATTCAGTGACTCAACGGAAGATATTATTACCACCAGTCATATGAGAGGATAATAAATAAATTCCACCTTTTTCCATTTCATGATTTTAAACGCGTGACTGGGTGGACCCCACTGCTCATGACTTCTCACTAGAACTCCAGTCAACTTCATTCTGTAGCCAGTCATTCACCAATGAACATCAGATCAGCAGTCAGGTCTTGGGTTCGAAACCCAGTTGATGGGTACTGGTGAAGAGTCAGTCCCTAGGCTCAGGACGAAACAGCTGTTCATTACTTCCTAGTTGGTCTTCAGTAGTTCTCTAACTAATATCGATTTGTGATTGAACTTGAGACAAATCGAATCCGTATAAACTTAGTCATAATAAGTATAATAAAAAGACAGAGGCTAAGTAAGTTTTGTTTCTCTATTTACGTAAAGCCTCCAGCTTTTATATTCTTCCGATGATTAAAGCGCTTAATTAGTAATCATGAAAAATTGTGACATTACATATGTGTTAAATGAAATTGTAGAAAATTTAGCCTTTCGCTTGATTCACGTGCTCTTTTTTCTTTGATTATTTAATGACGCTTATCATCATCGACATCAGTAGTAGGCCTCTTAAATAGACACTTTACAATCCTATCAGCTTCGTTGTAGCACCCATCACACTAATTAGCTTTAGTATTTAATCATTATAAAAGATGTATTTTAGCACCGAAAATTGATTTCTTTTTCCTGCTCAAACTACTCAATGAGAAATAGGTTGACTCATGAAGTGAAATCTGCCAACCAAGGAGGTAATTAAAAACTAAAAGAAGCAAGCGATGAAGTGACTTTGGTCTCCTCTTTTTGGGAATTTAGAAAGCTGAGGAGACCAAAACTCAGCCTAGACACACTTCCTCAGCTTCTCACCTGTGAAATATAAACGTAGCTTGATCAGGTGGTATGCGTTTAGAGCGAGATCAACTTGTTCCGTGGACTGTGTTGAGAAAGAGCTCCGGAGATATTCTGAGTGAAAATCTTATTTTGGGACTCTTCAGGAGGGTTTACTTATGATTCCTCCAGGGATCGAACTCGGGGATCTTCAAGCTATGAGATCGAGCTCGTTGACTATTCAACCACTTGGGGGTGGGGTGGAATTCAATGAACCATGAACTGTAATTTTTTCAACTCCGTGCGATATAACGCTGCCCTCACCAATGCCTTCGATGAGAATCCAATTCACCTTGATGACATGGTGGGTGGACCCTCCACTGGTCACGAATTTCCACTGCAACACCTCCAGGAAATTCATCCAGTAGCCATCAGGGAGCCGGCGGTGGATATTCATGCTGTGGGATTGGTTCGTGACTGTAATCTAACAGGCTTAAACATGAGTTGCCACATAAGTTAGAGAACCCTTGGAAAACCTAAAAGTAGTGGGTGACTGTTTCATCCTAGCTTGGGACCCTTCAGTAGCATGAACCAACTGGAATTGTAACCCAGGGTCTTCGAGTTACAAGTCAAGCTCGTAGATCATTTATTCATCCACAGGAGGGACTCGATTTAGTGACCAGTTCGTGGATTCCAACTTCTGCCAACTCTCTAGCGTGACCACCAGCCAATGTCATAGGCGGCGAATAACTGACTCCTGGAAAGTGACACTTGATCATCTAACAGTTGAAATTAATCCAAAATCTCTGAAAATTCTATTATCTAAAGGTTATTTGTTTTTTATTCTTCCCGCCCCTCTGCCTCTGTTTCCCATGTAGGTGACAAGCAAGTTGAAGAAGTTCGCTGAAGACAAACGTATGGTTAGTGCTGGTGATAAGACAACAATGCGTGATTTAAGTCAAATGTTGAAGAAAATGCCACAATATCAAAAAGAGCTATCCATGTATTCAACCCATTTTCATTTAGCTGAAGATTGTATGCAAACGTATCAAAATCATGCTAATAAATTGTGTAAAGTTGAACAGGTAAGCAATTATTGCCTTAATCAGTAGTATCGTTTATAATTCTGTAATAATGATAATAATAATGAATTAAAAAAAGGAGAGCTGTTTTAACTTGGTGTTTCACAGTGAATTGCAAACCAACAATCGTTTTGTTTCTTGATATTAGGGCTGCCTTCGATTCGTTGGACAGAACTGTGCTCTGGAACTGTCTGTTATAGAGGGGTGTACCTGAGAAGTTTTTTAACATCTTGAAAGCCCTATACACCTCAGGTAGAGTGAGGGCATACAACCAATTATTATCATTGTTCCCAGCTAACAGTGGGGTTAGACAGGGTTGTCCAATCACCCCATTTCTCTTTAACTTTACAATTGATGACATTCTGGAGTCAGCTTTGAAGGATGTGCGTGGTTGTGTTGGTGTTGGTGTAGATCCGCTTCCTGGAGTGGAGTAAGGCTTTTTGATCTTGAGTGTGCAGGCGATATCATGTTACTCTTCGATAACATGCAGGCTGTCCAAATCGCACTTAATCAGTTGGCGATCAGTGTCTGAGTATGATATGTGCTTTACGTCGTCTAGTTGCGAGATTGGTAGGAGCCTATATCTGTACTTACCCTTACAGGTGAACCGTCTGAAGTTGTCGAAAATTTTCTGTATCTACGTAGTTGTGTGACGGACTAGATCTCTAACTGTTTAGTGAAACCTAGGATAACATAGGTCAATTCGATGGCGTGGTGACGTTAACCTGACCGTCAAATGTCGGGTTTACAATACTTTGGTGCACACTGTCTCGCTCGTCGCCTGTGAAACCTGACATGTTTTAGCTTAAAATATGCAGCAACTCCGCTTATTCGATCATCGCTATCTCCGATGACATAATCTTGTGACTAATTCTAAGGACCGGCAGCTGTGTTTTTTGGGAGTACCTGGAAATACCAGCTTCGGTGGCTTGGATATATTCTATGAATGCCATTCCAGAGGCTTCTGTACCAGGAATTAAATCTGGTACCTCTCGTGTAGGGTTGTAAATAGCATTGTATCATTGTTCCGCTGACATATCATATAATCACACTTTCACATTGTGCTTTCGCCTGACCTCACAGCAGCGTTCCAAGTAACAGTCTCATCGCTGATGGATCTTGAATGCCACTCAACTGCACAACAGCCTTAAAATCCGCCCCCGAAGATCCATACGTCTCCATCAAAAACTTCAAGGCATAGGCTTTCCAACTGTCGGAAGGCAGCTACACCAAATGTAACGATAGAAGACAAGGGTCAGTCAACACAGCGTTTATTGAGGAAATCAACAGATATTTATAGATTTATGTGTACATTATTATTTGTTATTGTCAGCAGAGAGGTAACCTCTTCTGATTGGTTGTTTTGCTGCTGAAGGTTATTCTGTCATCTGTCCGGTTATATATCTGCGAATCGTAACCGTCCTCACCAAGTTGGCTGTGAATGGTTGTTGAGTCCCCCAAGGTTAAGATTTGTTATTATTTTATCTCGTGACCTCGATCCAGGACGTGAATTGGTGTCTACAATTTTTGCTAGCAGACAGCGCTCACCGCAATAGGAGTAGTACATATATTCTTATTTGTGTGTACCCCATTTTTGTGTTGTTGATTTTTCGCTCGAGTTTTTTTTTTCATTCCTTTACGTTCCCAGTGGAACATAGGATACCTTCAAGCTAGAGGCTTGAAGTTTCTGTAGCGATGGTGATTATTTTTTTACAGGATGGGGTGGCTAGCCAGCCTCAAGCTGGCCCAACCTTCCCTCTTTACCAGTCCTATTGCCGGTTTAGGAAGGTAAAGGATCGCACTGGCGGCCGGCGGTCGAACCTTGGAACACATGAGGTGTGGTCGGCGAGCACTCTACTGCTGTGCCACTGACGCACTTTGCTCGAGTTAACGTGATTTAAATCCCCGTGAGTTTTTTATCAATACTTTTGTAAAACTAAAACAATTTTTCTTTTTCTTCTGTTTTATTTTTGACAACAGGATTTAGCTATGGGTACAGATGCCGAAGGTGAACGTGTTAAAGATCATATGCGTACAATGGTACCAATATTAATTGACCAGTCAGTATCAGCTTATGATAAACTACGTGTTATCCTGTTGTATGTTGTTCAACGTGGTGGAATAAATGAAGAGAATTTAGCTAAATTAGTACAACATGCTCAAATACCTTCATCACAAGCCTGTATTATACGCAACTTGATACACTTAGGGATACCAAGCATACAAGATGCTACTGGAGCTGTAAGTAATCCAAAAATAAATATCCTTTATATTTTGTAGATGTGTATCTGTGTGAATGACTGTATTTTGATTGGTTGGAGGATTTCATCATGAGCTGACGTCGGTTAGAGAACCATTTGGAAAACCTGCAGTACTGGAGTACTGGACAACTGTTTCGTCCACCTGGTTTGGGACTCTTTAGCAGTACGCACTCATCACAGGAGGTTCGAACCGAGGACCTTCTGGTTATAAGGAGAGCTCGTACACCATTCAGCCACTGCGACCCGATCCAATGTCCAGGCAGCCCATGAATTCTAGCTCCTGTCAATTCATGGTATAGCGCGGTCACTTGTGTATATTATGCACAGTTATTTTTACACATAGCATACTCTGACGTTGATTTATGTCCTCTCGAATCTAAGCTGCTGTTACAGAAACTGAAATACACGGACTCCTAGCTTGACTGAGCATGTTAATTGGACACCACTTATTTTGCGGGAAGTTGCATCATCCTCTAATCGACTAACTGATTGATGATGAAATTTCAACACAGATTTGACAGCTTACGTAATCTCTGGTTTATACGTTATATCCAACTGGCTATTGATCAATAGACGTGCGTACTGAGTACCAGTTCGTTCCCTCCCTCTTTATGGTTGTGAGTGAGACCTGGACGTTGAAAGTGGAAGAAATGAGAAGCCCGGCTAGTTCTCTTTGATCATAGGTGCCTGCGTTCTATCTCCCGTGTGAAGTGGTATAATTGGGTGCGCAGTATTCACGTTAGGCTTCGGTCGAGTGCTAGGTAAGGAGAGAAAATCAATAGACGAGGTTGTGAAGTTACATTGACTGAGTGAGATGGTTAGGATATGTGTTACGTATACATCCTTACCCAGCGGTCGCCCTTCTCGAGGGGCAGTGTTAGCGGACTGACATAGGATGGATCAGATTGGAAAAGAGAAGGCCAGTGGTGGTCAAACGAAAACTTGGCTTCATCAGTCAATGAAATCCACAACAGTTAGTTTAAGCCAGCCAACCAAACAGTCACGTAGGGAGCTGTAGACTGTTTGTCTGGTTGGGGTCCACACAATAGTATGAACCAGTGGTGGCTGTGGAGGCAATTGGTGATATGGTTGGCTCATAATTGTCGTTCTGAATGACGCAAATGTATTCACTGTGTGATTTCTAATGTCTACTAAACCCAATTATTTCTCCATACTACTGTTTTGTCCTTCTGCCGTACATCTCTTCTTATTCCTGTTCCTTTGAATGTCTTGGTTTCTCTTTTCTTTGATAAATGATGCAGTGTAGCAACACTTAAAGTGTTGCACTATGCACTGTGCAAAGTTTTATGTTGTAACTGATTGATATCAGATGATTTGTGTCGTGATTGTTCTATGATATGAATTTGAAATTGATGAAATTCAGGAGCAAAGGGTGCTGGTGTTGGTAGTGGCTTGAAATGGATTTACATTTGTATATATCTGTGAACATCGGAATCCTTCGAATTGAAAACGGGAGTAAGATAAGCTGGCTGCTTACTATCTCCAATGATTTTCTTGATTGCTGTAAACTGGATAATGCGACAGACAGACAACGGTGGGCATCGAGGAGACAGGCATAAGATGGACCCACATAAAACACTTGGAGGATATGGACCTCACCGATGATATATGTCTAATTTTCCACTAACTGGAAGATATGCAAGTGAAAAGCAACAAGTTGGCAGAAGAAGCATCCAGTAAAGATAGGACTTCCTTCAGGTGAACATAGCGAGAACAGAAGTGATGAAGATTCCTGGCCAACAGCAACAACAACAACAATAGACAACATTCAGCCAGCATGAATGAGAGGAGTCTGAAAGAAGCAACCTCCTTTACTTACTTACCTACCAACCGACCTGGGAAGCATCATTTCAACTACAGGCAGACGGAACTGACGAGGATATCAAAGCGAGGAATATTGGGTGAGCAAGACAAGCTTTCATTTCTTCCAAGTCTGTGTGGAGATCAGCAGCACTCAGCATGAAAAATAAGATCCGAATTTTCAACTCCAATGTGAATTGAGTGCTACTCAGAGACTTGGCGCTGCGCTGCGTCACGAAGGCCACTTCGAACAAACTACACACCTTCATCAGCAGCTATTTTCGCTTATTACTACTCAAGATCAGATGGAGGGTCAGAAATGATAAACAATAGTCTGGGATCTCTGTCAATGAGCGAACCAACCCAGCAGGGACCAATTTTGCAACGAACATGCAGTAAGAAATGGAGGTGGATTGGCTTGGCCATACTCTGAGATAACAAACCATCAAGTGACATCACACGTCAGGCTCTCTTTTACTCTCAAGTGGAACCCAAATGGGACGCGGTGAGTTAGTGCGAGGGGAAGGTGACATGGAGGAGGTCATGTGAAGAGCCGATGAAAGCATGTGGGCAAATGTAAAGTCAGGTGATGAAAATGTCGGTGAACATAAAGCAATGCAAAACCAGTTTTGTGTACTTACTGCCGCAATATTTGTACATGAATTATGAAAAATAACCCCACTAAATACTGTGGAAATCTAATCTGCTTAGTATGATGACCATTATTCACATTTTCAACACTCATATGAAGCCAGTAGTCGGCGTGTTTCTATGTAGATATTCTTCAGAGACTTGGCAGAAAGAAGTATTCCCCACAACTGCCTACTGTAGACTTTCATAAAGTTATGCCATTAGATGATTAAATTAGCAGCCGGAATGTGGATAATTCTCATGGAACTCTGATAGTTGATGAATGGATCAACCAGGAAATCCATCGTTGGGCGAATATGCTCCAAGAAATGGCGATAAATTATTGGATACACACTGTGGAGACATTAAGGGAAACAAGGAGTTAGTGTTGTGTGTATCCAATGTTGACATGTGGAGGTGTTGAAAGCTTGTGGGGGAATTGTGGAGCCAATTAAAAAAAAAAGAAAGCACAGAACAGATTATTAAAAACAGGGAAAAGTGTTGTTGTAGTAACCTGTGTTCCACTCGGAAACCAAGAAATAGTTAATAATAATAATTAAAGAATAAGATTGCAAACTTTCGTTGATTCCTCTATTTTTTCTGAAGTTACACATACGTACTTCATGAACGTATTTGAGTCGATAAGAAGGTAAAGTCAATAATGAGGTCGATCGAAATGGCTGCGACATGTTACGCATTCCCCGGGCCTTGGTCTTCCTGGACGTTCAAAGTGTTAACTGATGTGAAGTTAGCTGGTTGTAGAAAACGTTAGACGTGGTCAGATCAAAAACTAGCATCAGTTCACAAAATTCCATGACTTTTAGTTTGAATCACTTAGGGAGGAGGAGGTGTAGAGAGACTGTTTGGCTGGCTGATTGAGATTTTCGAAATCTGAAGAATCAAAGGTTAGTGATTGATTGTCGACGAAGTAGTTATGCTGTAATGACTTGAACTGCTGCTGCACTTCTTCCCTGTAAAATTCGATCCGCATTACTCTGAAATCAGTATAGAAATAATGCATACTGTACTCTCAGCCTAATGAGAACAACATTCGAATTTTCAACATTCTGGTCAAGTTAGTCGGTATGCTTCACACACACACGCGTCACACAAAAAGCACTTATAAACAAGCTGTTGTAGACTTTTGGTGAACAGATGCCTTTGCTGCCTCGATGCGGAAGGTTAGATAGACGGCTAGAACGAATGGTGTCAAAGAATCAACCACCAACCTATCGCTCAAACGTATATGCAGAATTCATTGAAGCTGGGCAAGTTGGCAGATTGTGTAAGGGCAAATGTGGAGCTAGCTATAAGAGACTGTAGTGAACAGATTGACAGAGGCTGTATGTTCCATTGGGAAACTAAGAGGATAACAGCAATTATAATAACCATAACTCTTGATTAAACCAAATACGTATTTTCGGTAAATTCCCATCAGGCTTTAAAATCACACAATCAGATGTTAGTCACAGACATTCGAAACAGTATAGATTCATAGAATGTATTATAATGTAAGTAGAATAATCATTATGATAAATTTTAAAACTAAAAACAGTATGATATTGCTAATAAAGTTATAAATAGTATTGTGGTGAGACCGGGTTGCAAACCCAGGAAAATAGTTTCCCATGTGGGAAGGACCACATATGGTCAATGTCAGACGGGGTCACGTAGATACGATCTCAAATGTAAACAAATAGAAACGGGTGAACATCACCGAGTACCGGAATTCTAGACTGCAAGACAAACGAACAAAGCCATCAGAATCAAACTTCAGTCGAAAGTCTTGGTCTGGGTTTGGGGGGGGGGGTGACGAGTGTGGTGAGAGCTAGCTGCAAGTCAAAAATTGTAGACAACAATTTACGTCAGTCTTCACGTCCCGAATCGGGGTCATGAGAAAAAACGATAACAAAGCTTAACCTTGAGGAACTCACCAACCAATCACAGCGGAGATAAGTGTAGAAATATGATTCACAGATATATGGCTTGATTTTTTAAGAAACAACCATAAAGACATAACAGAATAACCTTCAGCAAGAAAACAACCAATCAGAAGAAGTTGCTTCTCTGCTAACAATAACGAATAACAATGTACATAAAAATCTATAGATATCTGTTGATTCTCTCAATAAACGATCTGTTGCCTGACCCTTGTCTTCTGTCATTATATATATATATATTTCTGCATAGTAGTCTATCCTCAAGTTTATTATTATAGTTATTCAACATAATTTTTGTAATTGCAGAGTATCGGTCGACGGAAACTTCCTCAGCCTTATTTGCCTGGCAATCGACGTCAACGTGAAGATGGCCCAAGATATCAAATGTCTCGTTGGACGCCCTACATCAAAGATCTTATGGAGGTAATTTTGAAAAAAATATATATATAATACTAATTAATATCGTGATTTGGCAAGTTTAGATGGTTAGAGGCGATCGGCCACAGGAAGCCTTAGACCTAGGTTTCGTACTAGTTGGCACTCAACCAGTCAGTAAGGCGTATCTGCGACCTTAAAGGAACTCATGTACCGACTGAGAGTCGAACGCGCGTCACCCAGTGGAGCTACAGTCAGAGACATTACCACAGAGCTAGTTATTCGGGCTTGTGACTAACATCCTGCAGGACTGTAGTGGATACTTTGATTGGACATCAGTAACTAGTGTGATGTATCTAGTCCCTTGGTGTTTGGTGCAGACTGAATTCTATCGTCAGTCATGTTCGCAATGTGGCCACAGTTCTAGACAGCTCGCCATCACGGTGCATATTGATTCGATGATATGAAGTTACAGTCATAAAAGAACACATTATAGATTGTATTGTACAAATTAACGTGTGATATCCAGATGTCATGCATCGGTGGTACAACGGTAGAATGCTTACCAACTACGCTTTACGTAGTCCGGGGTTCGATCCCCGGTCGCCAATGTACTCCATAAAACCTTGATAAGCCAGTAGTGAGACTGGTAAAGAGGGAAGGTTGGGCCAGCATGAGGCTGGCTAGCAACCCCATGCCGTAAAAATAAATACCACTGCTACCTAAACTTCAAGCCTCTAGCTTTAAGGCGCTCTATGTTCCACTGATCAGCAATAGGGACCTCTGGGAGCGAACCAACCAGGAACCAATCTTGAAACAAATAGGTAGGAATAAATGAAGATGGATTGGTCATACTCTGAGGGAACCATCAAGTGATATCACTAGACAAGCCCTCGAGTGGAACCCGAAAGGGAAGCGGCGAGTTGGTCGTCAGTGCAAGGGTGACCTGGAGGAGGTCATGTGAAGAGGAGATGAAAGCATGTGGGCAGACTTGGAGCCAGGTGAAAACGTTGGCAGAGAACCGAACGCAATGGAGACGTGTGACTGAAACCCTATGTTCCTCTAGGAATTAAAGGAAATAATAATAATGTTCCACTGGGAATGTGAAGGAGCAAAAGAATACCGATGTCATGACAATTATCTGGCGTCTAGGTGGTGGTGGGGGGAAGAACGGATAATAATTACAGTGTTGGTTGAAACATCCAAACAAGTATAAATGTTGTGATTAGATTGTTCAGGGGATGGGGGCGGAGATGACAAGGAGGTATAGTATCACTCTAGCGCTCTCTCATATTACACAGTAGCTGTGGTTCATTGCCGATTACACCTAAATGCTAGTAGTTGTCTAGTATATTTGCCGGGTTTCTGTTTTTGTGATAACTTTTTCTTCAATAACAAACTTGCTTCTATTCCACTTTTCTTTTTTTCTTGTTAGGATGCTGTTGAAGATAAATTAGATCAAAAGGCCTTTCAATACTTTGGTGGTGGACCTGTTCGTGGACCGGGTACCCGGACAGGGAATGCACCAATGTCAGCTAGATATGGTATGTGGCATCGAGATAAAAGTCAACAACCACGTTCTGGGCCTAGACTGATATTTTTCATTATCGGTGGAATATCCTATTCAGAAATGCGTTGTGCTTATGAAGTAATGAACACAACAACTGGTAAACAATGGGATATTATTGTCGGTGGAACCCACCTCCTAGTACCTGAAGGATTTCTGAGCGATTTAGAAAAATTATCTTATCCACCGGGAACAGTACTTCCATCAGCGAATACTAGTAGCGGTAGTGGAGTCGGCGGAGGCGCACAGGTGATTGTTGGAGCTGGGGGTGAACCAGTATGAGTGAAGTCACAGTTGCTCCTCCTCTTGTCTCTCTCTCTCTCCACACACTCACATGCACACACAAACATTTCAATCAATATCTATGCTTTATTTGAAATGATGACATAAGAAGATTTTTTTCTATACTTCAGTTTTTGCTGAAAAAAACGTTATTTACTCACATATTTATTCTCCCGTTTCTTTATTTCGCATTTTTCCCTCTCTCGGCCTCTCTCTCTCTCTCTCTCTCTCGTTATCTCTCTTTGTCATCTACTCAAAATCTCATCTAGTCTTCTAGAATCAAGAGAGAAAAGGGCCAGAGTGGGGGTGGTTGAGTGTTAGCGGAGAGAGAGAGAGTTATATCTATCTATCTATATTAGCATTTTATTGAATACTTCTATTGAAAAGCATTCCTCAATTAATGTTAGTTAATTTAATCTCTCTCTCCCTTTCTATCATCTATATATTGTGTAATCATGAATCAATAATGTGTAAAGGAGAAGAATTGACCTCCTCCACTGTTGTTGTTGCTGTTCTTGTTGTTGATGATGATGATAATGATGGCGATGTGCTTATCTAGTCGAGTTGCTTTCGCCCATCGACTTTCCTTTCCTCCAAAGTACCCACACACACCCGCACACACTTTCCGTTTTCTGTCAGTTATACAAGCATTCCGTATTTATTGCTATCATCTCATTATTCTTACTCATAATAACACACAATATCTCTCTGTCTGTCTGTCTGTCCGTTTGTCTGTCTATCTGTTCTTCTTTTTTTCTTACGGCAGCTGTGTTGTGATGAATCTCCTCCTCCTGCTCCTCCTCCTCCTCCTCCTCCTCGATCTCCTTGACTCTTGTGATAGAACTACCTACTATTACTACTTCTACTCTATCTTATCTCTGCCTAGTTGACAATTCCTTGCGCCAAATTCGCTTTGTTTATTCTGGGTATTCTACGTCTCTCTCTATCTCTATGTCTCCTATATACACACACACAAACAAACAAACATTCCTCTAGTTTGTTTCTGATATATTACCGCCAGCACTGAAGTTATTATTATTATCATTATTATTATTGTTGTTGTTTAATTTCGTCGTCGTTGTCGCTGTTGTTTATTTGCGGGTCTCAGTGTTACAGGGGGCGGCCCATGTCAGTTAGTTTCCTCTACTCAACTCTACTCATCATTGGTCTATTTATTGATTTATCGATTATTTATTAGAAAGAAGAACAAGAAGAAGAAGGAAAAGGTTTGAAAACTTGTCTTTCCTTATTTTCCTTTAAATTTTCACATAGTTATATTTACACACAAACACATACACACTTACATACATACATATATACTTTCCTCCTTGAGGTATATACATATATATATGTATTACATAATGCATAATAATGATAATAATACAAAATATATACTGATACGTATGTAGTTGAAATTGTTTGTTCTATTTTTTATCAGAATTATTATCAGGATGATTGGTGCCAGAGTCACGCTTGTGTGGTGTTGATGCGATCCGCTCCGATCCGCCGATAAGAACACTATAGTGTGACATACTGGTGATGTTTAACACGTATCCACGTACCGTCAAAGTGTGTCGGTGGACTACTCGCCGATCACGCAGGTTCGATCCCCTGCCGCCAACGCACTCCTTTACCTTGTTTAGCCAGTAATAAAAGCTGGTAAGGAAGAAAGGTTGGGCCAGCGTGACGCTGGCTAGCAACCACATCCTGTAAAAATAAACACCACTGCTACAGAAATTTCAAGCCTTAAGCTTGAAGGCGTTCTATGTTCCACTTGGGAACGTGACGGATTAAAAAAACTTCATAAGTAATAAGAAATGCACAAATGTTACGAACATATGCTTATATATATATCGGCAACATAATTGGTAATGGATAAGCTAAATGTGGAGCTATATCAATTAGATTTGATAGTTCAGTTAAGTGCTTCATTGAACATACAAAACTGTTCTACATCGAAATTAAGTATAGCCTTTTTTGTAGATATCGAACACCACCATGGATAAGCTTAGTTGATCGAAAAGATGTACCCGAAGTGAAATCGAATCTTTCAATGAGACAAGTTGATAAGCCACCAACGCATTGCTTTACCTCTCCAAGCCAGTGATATGACTGGTAAAGACGGAAGGTTGGGTGTCAGGCTAGCGACCCTCTCCTGTAAAAATAAACACCACTGTTACGGAAACTTCAAGCCTCTAGCTTGACATCGAACTCTTTGCGTTTTAAATGGTGCCATTTTCCGACGACTGTGTGGGATTTCATGCCTCATCTTATCACAATAACCATAGGGGCCCATATATTCAGTGAACAGATGGTCGTCGTATTCTTTAGTTTAACAGCGTCATATTCTGTGCTTTCGATGCCCTAACGCTTGCTATCTCGGTTGTCTCACACATGCTGATAGGTCCGTACTTCGTAATCACTACCCTCTCCTTCGTGTTAATTATAGCACTGGCTTCTCGTAGAAGATCAGCTGCAAATAGTGTTTGGCGTAACTTGGGTACAACAATCAACGAGAACGTTACTTTGCGATCGTCAATAAGAACACTACAGTTTGATATGCGTGGGATGTTTAATACATTTTCACCTACGGTCAATAAACTGTCAGTGAACACGGTCTGACGCTCTGGCATAGATTCTTATCTATCTATTAGTGAAAGTGACACCTCCTGTATTTATTAAACACACTACTTCTTGGTCATTCATTCGCAGCTTAGAATACATGCCGCTCGCCAGCTTCGGGAGCCCCCACTACTTCTAGTCTATCTGAAATGTTCCCTTCTGTGTCTATCTAGGCACTACTTCCTCTCGTGTGTCCTGATTTGTCACATTCAAAGCATCAGTCTTCCCGAGCACTCATTCGTAGTGCCACTGCTACACGCTTCAAATCTTCTACTTCCTATTCCCATTCGTTCGACTTCGATGGCTCCATTGCTGCTACTGTGGTGCTAAGTATCTGTCTTGTCATCTTCGCTAGCTCACCGATGTCCATGGGCTGTGCAGCGTTAACCAGTTGTAATTGCTAAGTTATGTGTTCTGGAACACTTTCGATAAACTAGGAAGCCAACAACTACGTCTCTGATAGGTTGTTGCTAATCTGATACGAAAAGTTTTCTATGATAGAAAGAGAAAACTGTTGTGCTTGATTGCTGGTTTTCTGATGCTTAAACGCCAAAGATTATTTCCCAACTACAATGTGAGCTAGTTCTAGATTTGAGAAATAAACGATTCTACTTCTGTAGCCACTGAATTAAGATGTTGTTTCCAATTTTCGCTAATTTCTATCAATCTGCGTCTATATACTACTGATAAATCTTGTTAGTAGCACCCGCTGCTAAAGTCGTCAAACTAAAAACAAACCTTTGGGATTTTTCAGTGATTTACCAGCTGATATCGATTCGCGACACGATCTACATTGAAATTAGCATTCAATCATATTGTATGCATTATTATTATTATTATTATCATCCTTTTGGGGCTCGAGTGGAACATACGGCTGAAACAGCACATCTCCACTTTTTCCTGTTCTCTTCAGTCTTTTTTTAGCTACCCCTAAACCGTTATTTTCTCCTCTACCTCACAAGATCTCTTCCATATCATCCTCGGAGACATTCCCAGGTAGTAAAAGACAAATGATAAGTGAAACAATCTCTGAGATAAGTGGCACTATAATTAGTTCTCTGGATAAACGACTAGAATGTTGGAAAGAACACTTTGAGAAGCAATTTAATGGGCCTACAACCACGTTCTAGCTACCGTACATCCAACACCTCCCTGAATGGGATACAGACACAAGTCCTTCGTTCCTAACTAAGGTTACTACGGCTGTCACTTGTCTGAAATGAGACAAAGCAGCAGGACCTGATGGAATGACTCCAGAGGTGTTTAAGGATGGTGGAGACAGTTTGAGATGAGGTGAGGCGTCGGTCGAGTGCTAGGTAAGGAGGGTGAATCAACAGACGAAGCTTTGGAGCTACATCCATTGAGATGGTTAGGACACGTGTTACGTATGTTTGTCTGGCCATCGATTGCCTTCCTCGATGGGGAATGTTAGCTGACTGACATAGGATGGATCAGGTTGGGAGAGATCTAGTGGTGTGGTGAAACGGAAACATATCTTCGTCAGTCAATGAAATCCACGACAGTTAGTTTGAGCCAGCCAGTCACGTGTAGAGGTGTACACCGGCTTCTTGGTTTGGGTCCTCGGGATTCTAAGAACCAATGGTGGCTGTGGAGACAATTGGTGATATAGCTGGCTAAAAATCCTCGTTCTCAATGGCTGGCGCAGATGCATTCCTCACTCTTTGTGATTTATCATATTCAATGAAATTATATTGCTCTTCCATATTACTATTCTTAATTCCTCATATTTCTGTTTATTATCTCTCCGTCTTTTAAATGTCTGTTTACTCTCTTCTCTTGTTTTGTGTGCTAAGTGAATTGTGGTGACTCGAACTGCTGCACATTTGTGCTAAGTCCTATATTAAAACCAGTCAGTCCCGAGTCACGCCGTTCCGTCGTTTGATTTCATCTTGAGGATCTGGTGCGTGGTGTCTTTCAACGGTCTCCGTCATTTCCCTCGTCATATTGCTTGAGCGGTGCGTCGGTGGCATAGCGACTAGGACGCTCGCCGACCATGCACATGGTCCGGGGTTCGACCCCCGGCCGGCGCACTCCTTTACCTCGCTAAGCCAGAAATAATGCTGGTGAAGAGGAAAGGTTGGGCATGAGGCTAGCAACCCCATCCTGTCAAAATAAACACTGCTACAGAAACTTCAAGCCACTAGCTTGAAGCCCTATGTTCCACTGGGAACGTGAAGGAATAAAAAAAAATATTGCTTGAGCAATAGGTTCTTGGTTGATTCATTGTCCATCATAGTTCTCTGTTATGACTTCTCTCTGGCCATCTATCTGATCTTCAGTAGGTAGTGGGCGAAGTCAGTTTTGCTGATAAAAGTGTGCATTGGTCTA